TATGCATTTGGTCAAAAATACCCCTCCGCAAAATATGGGCTGCTTCTCGGTAGCTGAGGTGGCAAAAGTCTTATATGCACTCATGTATATATATATGTTTTGATATATCCTATCTTAACTTTTCCCCTCCCAGCCTCTCACCGCATGCACCCTAACTCCTCGATCTGTTCATTCCAATTGATTTCTTCTCTTCATCCAGATGCATGATTGGGTGGTTTGATGAAAAGCAGAGCAACAGCCATATTATGATTTATTGTTTCATAATGATGACCAGGGAATGGGGAAGCAACAGCATGCGAGAGTCTCTTCGGCTCTTCTTCCTCTCCATTAATTTTAATATAAGCTCCCTTCTCTCTTTATTTCTCACACTTGTTGGCTTACAAACCCTAAGAAGCAAGAACTTCCATCTCTATTGTGGTTGAAGAATCGAAGTTCCTTAAGCAACATCCACCTCTTCTGCAAGACAAGCAAGTTTCTCTAAAACTTGAATCGACTCTTCTTTTTTGGGTATGCAGCCTTCAATCCCCTCTATCATTAGATTTTGCTTTAAATTTGTAATGACACTTGATGCTACCATCTTCTTTATTCTATGTTTTCATACGATTACAAACCCAACTTAGATGATTGAAAGTTGCCCAATCAAGTTTAATAATTGCTCTGTTTCTTGGTTCATTCGTAACCCATCATTATTCATTAACCAGATTTGTGTGGTTTGTTTGTTTCATAGATGAATTGTAATTACTATCTTCATCTATTATTCTAATATATATATATATATATATATATATATATCTTAAGTTCTTCAATCACTAGATTGGAAAAAAGGGTAAATGCCATATTTGGTCACTGAGATTACTAAATCTTATCATGTTTAGTCACTAGAAATATTTAATATCAAGTTTGGTCACTCGAATTACTGAAACAGGTCACATTTAGTCACTCTCCCGTTAGCCTCCGTCCAACTCCGGTCACTCGAATTACTGAAACATGTCACATTTAGTCACTCGAATTACTGAAACATGTCACATTAGTCACTCTCCCATTAGTTTCCGTCCAACTCCATTAATGAATTTGGACGGAAACTGACGAGAGAGTGAATAAATGTGACCTGTTTTGATAATTCAAGTGACCAAAATTGATATTAAATTTTTTGAGTGACTAAACATGACACGATTTAGTAATCTCAGTGACCAAATGTGGCATTTACCCGGCAAAAAACCATACATATAGTTGGTTTCATGACAGATTTGATACTATTGAGATGCTCTTCGAGATCCATATACATTACAACTACTACAAGTGGTGACATTTTATCATCGTTTACAAGTATAGCCTTCTTTCGGGCAAGCTTCGAGGGATAGGTATGTTGCCTCAAATGTGAGTGCAATACTAAGAGAAGCGTTAGATACAAGAGTAGACTAGTTTAAGAAAACAAGAGAACAATACGAATTCAGGTTTGGGAATGTACAGATTACAGAAATGCAATAGGCAATTTCTTCTATCATGCTGGAAAGAAAATAATCGCCTTAATTAGTTCATACTCAGTACTATCGTAGTGCTCTTGAAGGACAATCTCGACCGCCATGGTTGCTGTATTTCCATCGCTCTTTTAGTTCCTTCTTTACCTTTCTTTCTTTCTTTCTATCGTTCGTTTGATTTGATTTGATGCACGTACTGCACGGCTGTCTCAGCCTCTGAGTGTAGCTTAAGCTGAACCCAAGGACTTATGAAAGCCAACGACGGACAAATTGCGTGAAAAAAGAAAAGGGGAACTTTAAAAATATATTTACGACGAAAATTGTAGGAAGTATTTCTAACTTTAAACTATATGCTTAGACGGTTTGTCATTTCTTCAAAACCAATCATTGAATCAAAGGCGATGCATGAGATTTAGATTCGAAAGAAAGCTCCTACTATCTCACATCTTCTATTCGCGGATGAATGTGTTATCTTTGGAAAAGCTATATATGCTACAAGAATGTGATAAGCTTATAGAGATCTTGAATATCTATACTAGAGAATCGGGGCAGCAGGTTAATTTTTCTAAATCTGAGCTTTCCTTCAGCAAGAATGTGAGGATAAGCAGGAGACTGGAGATTTGTGGCACCCTGGGTATCAAAGAGGTGGATAAACATTCTAAATATCTTGGTCTTCCCACTATGGTGGGAAGATCAAAGAAGGTTATCTTTGAGGAGATTAAGGAAAGGGTCCGGAAAAAACTTAAGGATTGGAAAAGCAGGGAAGGAAGTTTTGATTAAAGCGGTGGCTCAAGCTCAATGTCTTTATCCTATGTTTGTTTTCCACGTACGTACCTGAGGGTACACTAAACGAAATTGAAAAGATGATTGCGAAGTTTTGGTGGGGGCAGACAGGAAAAGAGTCTAAGATCACCTGGATGGAGTGGGATGAGCTCTGTGATGATAAAGAGGATGGAGGATTGGGCTTTAGGGATCTTAGATCTTTCAATTATGCGATGCTGGGCAAACAGGTTTGGAACGTGCTTTCTAGACCTCACTCTCTCAACGCTAGAGTTTTGAAAGCTCGATACTTTCCTAAGACAGATATTCTTGAGGCTAAGGTTGACTACCAACCAAGCTACATTTGGAAAAGCATCATGGGGGCGAAAGAGAAGATAGTTGAGGGATTCAGATGGAGAGTCGGAAACGGGGAATCAATAAGCATTTGGAAGGATGAATGGATCCCTGTGAAGAGCTTCTACCAGGCTGATCCTGTTCCTATGGGGGAGTTCTCTGAAGAATATGTTTGTGATCTCATTGATGCCGGTACATGTGGCTGGGATGGTGACAGTCTGAAAGACCAGTTTTCTATCAATGACCAAATTCTTATCTCTAAGATCCCCCTTAGATCTCCCCTTGGAGCTGATTCTAGGGTGTGGAAGGCTTCGGAAGATGAGGTTATTCGGTTAAATCAGCATATTACTTCATTCGGAATAATCGTAATCAATCCATGGTTCGTAACCACAACAGAAGTTCAGATGATTATGAGGTATGGAAACTCCTTTGGAAGCTTAACATTTAGCCTAAAGTTTGAATTTTCCTATGGAGAGTGTGCAGAATGATCTTACCTGTGGGTGTCCATATAAAAGATTGGATTGAAAATGCTGCTCTTGAGTGTCCTTTCTGCAATCTCCCAGAGTCCCAAATGCACGCGTTAAGGGAATGTGACTGGATCCATAGGCGATGGCAAGGCTGCGAGGAAAAAGATCTTTTTGAGCATGGGAAGGAAAATCCAGCTTTGACTGGATTTAGGGGTGGTTATACGGTCCGGTCCGGTTAAATTGGACCAAATTGATCCAGTCCTAGTCCGGTCTTTTCGGGAATATAAGGACCAAAGATTGGATTGGATACAGTCCGGTCTTGATCCGGTCCGGTCCCAATTTTATCTTGATTTTAGGTGTTGGGGGGTCTCTTATCCGGTCTTTATCCGGTTTTTTACCTCAAATCTAAGCCCGAATATGAGATTGCATTGTTTGCTATCCGGTCCCAGTCCGGTCCCGGTCTGGGTTATACGGTCCGGTTTCGGGTAAGACCAAACAGTCCGGGACCAAATAGCCAGCCCTAACTGGATTGGTGATATCCTAAGAAATTTCCCAGAGGATAGAGTTCAGAAATTCAGTGCGTTATTATGGTACTTGTGGAAAGAACGCTACAACCATAAGTTTAATAATCGAAAATTGGAAGAGGATTAGATCGTCCCACGAGCTATGGGGTAGTTGTCGTCGTATCTCACTGCTCAATCTCCCCCTGTTCTTAATTGTGAGTATGCCCTTTCCCAGATCTGCGCATTATTCCCGCTGGTCCCTCCCCTTGAGGGCTTTTTCAAGATGAATACCGATGTTGGAACTCTGCATCCTCAAGGAATAGGTCTGGGCTGCATCATCCGGGACTGGAATGGAAAGTTTGTCGGAGCGATGGCGATGAAGGAGAAGGGTGCATGCATGCCAATTGAAGCGGAAGCAAAAGCCATGCTAATGGGGCTGCGGGAAGATAATCGACGGTCGCTAAGCCCTCTGATTGTAGAGTCTGACTGTCAGATGCTTGTGAATTTTTTGCAGAACAGAGAAAAGGATTTCACGGAGCTGGGGGTATGGTGTGATGAGCTGAAGAGAATGGCGGTGGTTAATGAATCTTTGTCGAATTGTAAGGTTAGGTGGGTGTTTTCGCCTAGAAAGACCAATTCGGTGGCCCACTAGTTGGCTCATGCTAGGTCGGGTTGGAACCATCCATTGGTTTGGGTGGAGAACCCACCTCTCTCTTTGTATTTTAATCGAGGCTGATCTGGGCCAAGGTCCTTTGGGACAGGGTTGATTTCCTTTAATAATACTCGACAGATTTCCTATAAAAAAAAAAATCAAAGGCGATGCATGCTTGTTCTCTAAATATAATTAAGTGCACATCAAGCCTCTACCTATCAGGGAGTTCTTGTCTCAAAACTCTCAATACTATCGTTGTTGAGATACTTGAAAACGAAGGCATTAGATTTGATGACGTCATCTGTGACGAGAATGACATTTTTTCCAAGGCAAGCCCAAAAGGCATGAGACAAAAACTCGACACGATTACAAAACCGACTTCAAACAACACACGTTAGTCCGTATGCAACCAGACTACGATGAAAGAGTCTGTTCAACCACTACTTGGGCAGCTTTGAAGAAGCTCCGAGGAACAAAGACACGACATTGACGAGAAAGAAAAAACAAAAACCCAACATCTCCAAGATAGTCCCGCCAGCGAGTGTATTTTTCCTTCGACGGAGTATGCGGGATGACCAGATCGAGTTGTCACAATAAGACACAACAAAGAAAAGAAAACGATATTAGCAATCTTCGACAAAACATGCTTAATTACTCTCATAAATTTGTAAATTGAATAAAATCGAACTATCACCTGATAGAATGTTAAAACTTATTTCACTTCCTTCAATTACTTTCATACATATGAACACTTGCAAAATGACAGATAAAAAAAGCACGACTATGATTATCCATGTAAATCACATACCATTCCAGACCCAATCAGATACTGAATTGTCTTCTCAATCTTCTTCATATCGACTCTTCCGGAAAGGTAGAGATACTTGTTGAGTAGGTCACCGTGCCGGTTCTCCTCAGCAGTCCATGCCCGAGTCCACATCGCCCAAGAAGTTAGGCTAGCCCCAGTCTCATCTCTCACGCCATCAAGGGTGTTAAGCATTGTCTGGTAAGTTGGTAGGGCTTCTTCAGTGATCATATCTCCAACCAGCACAACAAAATAGCCATCAGGGAGCCTCCCATCACTTCTGTCATCATACACTTCGAGCATACCTTGGGAAGATTATTGTACTCAATCCCAATATCAAATGGAGGATCATCATCAGGATAGATACGAATTGAAGAAGAAAAAGCACAATCAGCTCCTAATTCCACACAAGCACGCGCAAACCCCAGCTGTCCCCCCACTCTAGTCTTTTGATCCATCCAGAGTGGCCTGCCAATCATACTTGTAACCCATTCCAGCCCTTCCTGCGCCAAGTATTCTAAAGGAAGACCCCAAACTCTGACCCAAATTGGCACCGTCTCCACCTTGGGAACCACTGGCTGAATTCCCGAGTTCCATTTCCTGAAGAAAATAGGGTTACCTCTAAAGTGCCATGGACCCGAAACTGGAGCCGATTCTCTGGGGCTACTGCAAAGAGCTGAGCCCATGAAGATGTGCCCTCGCCAGCCGAATCGGCTGCCGGCGAGGCCGCCATCGTAACCCTAAAGTTCAGAGAGAATTTTCAGGAGAGAGAAAAAGAGAGAAGTCAAGAGTGTTAATTGTGCAAAATCCAATTCGATCAGATGTTCCAAAGGGACTTAGTTGTGCAACATCGAGTTAGGCCTAAATTGAGCATTCCTACGTGAGAAAATAATCAACATATTTTCATATCTTATGGCAAGTTTTATAACTTATTAATGGGCCGGGTAAAAAAAAATTTGGTTTGGAATTGACAACTTTTATATTTTTTACTATCAATTTTTTTTTCTCATTTCTGATGTATATGTCTATCAAATATAGCAAAGTATTATATAACAAAAGATATGGATAGAAACTTCACGATGTACAAGTATTATATGACACATGTGAATGCTAGAGAAGTATCTGTAGATAATGTACGGTAAACATCACGTATCATCAACCACTGACCTGAGCATTGTTCAAACAAAGGCTGGCAATATTGTTTAATAGTTGAATATATTTGTAGAAAAATATAAATTTGAGTATTAATACAATAACTAAACATATGTTTGTTGGTTAAGATATCTACACCAAAAGCATTTATAGTTACAAAAATCTAATCCGAGTTATTGGGTTAAAATTTAAAAATGAAGAATCTTAAATAAGGAGGAGTTCAACAAGGCAATTGTAAGAAGTCATTTGGTAGTACGGTTATGAGCATGTGACTGCATACCAAACTTTGGCAATATGTGTTATCAAAACCGGATCGGATAATAATCCGGATTAGTGAGAGATTTAAGGTTTATCGAATAACCGATATAAAAACGTGATGTTTATCGTAGATTCTCAACAAAGATTTTTCTAACCTTCACATCTATTATTTTTCAAGAAATCTTGTGTCTCGTCCTAGGGTATGAAGTCAAAGTTCGTCAACAATCATACTTAAGTCATTTTGAACATTTTGATTTAAAATCGTTGACGATAGCTCCAAGTCTGAAATAAAATTTCTTAGCATACGACTTAGAACCTCAATAGAGCTTACTCAATCAACATGATATAGAGCAAATATTATTAATGTGAACTTAGGACACATTATCAAATTATTGCACATGCGAATCCTCTTTATTTGAGGAATTTAAGGTAGAACATGATCTGAATGAATAATAAGTTTTTTTAAATAAATAACTGTAACTAATCGATCAAGATCATAATCTTACATTTTGCTAAATAATACTTGTTTTATTTTATAGATATATACTGTATGAATAAGAGAGTGTCTCATTGCAACAAAATATAAAGTAATATAGTTTATTTTTCAAAGGTAATTGAATGTCAAATGTTTATTTTTCTCTTTTCATATATATTTTGGTTTAATCGATTAAAATATAATTGTTTAAGTGTATGCTTGTTTAGTTTTGTCATCAAAATATAACTTATCATTCAATTTTAGTAAAAATAGTAGAAAAATTACTTAATAAGATTTAATCGGATATTTTTCATTTAAACAAATGTGATATATGTCACTCTTTGTTTTCTTATTTATATTTTGTTTATTTAACAAAATTATTATTTATGTGTGTTTGGTTAAGTTTTTCAACATGTAACTTATTATTAAAGACAAAAAAGAATAAATGAATAAATGAAAAAAATAATTGGATAAAAGAAATGAAAATATTAAAGAAGAGAGAGGTAGTTTCATAAATACATTAGTAACTAAATTTTTTGTTTGTAAAAAGTTGTCTAACTTGGCAAATTGTGGATCCTCCAAGTGCTTATGTGACAATTTTTTTTTTAATTGTCATAATCTATATTATATATTATGACAATTCAAAAAAAAAATTCTTGCCACATAAGCACTTGGAGGATCCACAGTTTGCCAAGTTGGTCAACTTTTTTACAAACAAAAAATTAGTTATTAATGTATTTATGGAGCTACCTCTCTCTTCTTTAATATTTCCATTTCTTTTATCCAATTATTCTTTCTCATTCATCCATTAATTTTTTTTTTTGTCTTTAATAATAAGTTACATGTTGACAAATTTAACCAAACACACATAAATAATAATTTTTTGTTAAATAAACAAAATATAAATAAGAAAACAGAGAATGACATATATCACATTTATTTAAATAAAAAATATCTAATTAAACCTTATGAAATAAATTTTCTACTCATTTTTACTGAAATTCAATGATCGTGAAAACTTCATCTGGCAAAGAAGACGTTGAGGTGAAGTCCACCCTAAATCATTCGAAGGTGGCCTTCACCTTCACTCCGTCACAAATCAGGAAGGCTATTGAGTTGCGCTATAACTTTGTTGCAGCTACTGTTTTTATGAACATTTGCGGGAATCACACGGTGTGGTATGCTAGAAATTTATTTCATGCTGCCCTGAATGGAGAGGTGAAACTGTATGTCAAATATAATATTGACAAGTATATTGAACATCCGCTGTTGGTGAAAAAGTTCAAGGCCTTGGGAAGTTCAAATATTATAGTGGACGGGAAGAGTACATGCAATATCTTGCTATCTGAAAAAGTATTGAGGAAGGTAATAGAAGATTATGTGCATGGTCGGGCTTGCCGTATTATCCATGAGACAGTAGGCAACAATGGAGAAGTAAAGTTTGCAATTATTGAAGATTTATTCAATCGTGTGTTTGACCCACAGAGTAGGGTTAGTTTCTGGTTTGACAACTCAGTTTTGAAGGTTACGAAGTATCCTGAGATAGGACCGGAGAAGGATTCTTGCCTGTTGGATGCCTTGAAAACTAAGATGCTATCTGAGTAGAGAAAGTCTGAGGAGAAGAGAAAATCTGAGAAGAAAGGAAAATGTAAGAAGAAAGGAAGATATACCAGCAACACGAAGAGATGATCGGGAAGTTGGTTGGGCTGACTGACCTTGAAAATGGTAGTAGAATGAGAAGTAGAATTTCGAATTGTAGAAAACAAAAGGCCGAAGGCCTAGAGTTAGGTTACGAATTTAGGGATAATTGTTTGAGCATTTATGCAACCCACCCCTCTCTTTTATGATTTTTTCAGCGAATTATTTTGGCATCTATCTATATTATATATTATGACAATTCAAAAAAAAATTCTTGCCACATAAGCACTTGGAGGATCCACAGTTTGCCAAGTTGGTCAACTTGTTTACAAACAAAAAATTAGTTATTAATGTATTTATGGAGCTACCTCTCTCTTCTTTAATATTTCCATTTCTTTTATCCAATTATTCTTTTCCATTCATCCATTAATTTTTTTTTTGTCTTTAATAATAAGTTACATGTTGATAAACTTAACCAAACACACATAAATAATAATTTTTTGTTAAATAAACAAAATATAAATAAGAAAACAGAGAGTGACATATATCACATTATTTAAATAAAAAATATCTAATTAAACCTTATGAAATAAATTTTCTACTCATTTTTACTGAAATTCAATGATAAGTTACATTTTGATGAAAAAAATAAACAAACATACATATAAACAATTATGTTTTAATCGATTAAACAAAAATATATATGAAAAGAGAGAATAAACATTTGACATTCAATTACTTTTGAAAAATAAACTATATTACTTTATATTTTGTTACAATGAAACACTCTCTTATTCGTACAGTATATATCTATAAAATAAAACTTTATTATTTAGCAAAATGTCAGAATATAATCTTGATTGAGTAGTTATAGTTATTTATTTAAAAAAAAAATCTTATTCATTCAGATCATGTTCTATCTTAAATTCCTCAAATGAAGAGGAATCGCATATGCAATAATTTGATAATGTGACCTAAGTTCAAATTAATAATATTTGCTCTATATCCTGTTAATTGAGCAAGCTCTATTGAGGTTCTAAGTCGTATGCTAAGAAATTTTCATGAGATACATATCAACATTAAGGGCTTACTTTTAAAAACACAGGCATAAGTATTTTGAAAACACAGGCATCCGCAGAAGAAAGATAAAGTGACTCATCCACGAGGTAGGATCCTCACCTTTTCCTTTAGTTTGAAGGACCAACTTACATAACTAGCTTTCGCTTAGCCAATAGTTTGGCTTCAAACCTTACTGTGACAGTCAGATACATATCAACATTAAGCCTCTAACAATCAGTGTTGTACCATCAGCACAAACATCCAGGATTGAGTTAAATGGAGGATCATCATACACTTCGAGCATACCTTGGGAAGATTATTGTACTCAATCCCAATATCAAATGGAGGATCATCATCAGGATAGATACGAATTGAAGAAGAAAAAGCACAATCCTACTCGACATGTTTCATAAGATGATATCATGTTTCATAAGAATCTAGCTAAGATTCTATTCTTGATCAAGAAAACACTTCAAGAAACAGGAACGTTTCAATTATGCAATGTAAAGAAAAGGTCGGGATGATAAGATATAATTGAATTCTGGTAAAGACTACATGTGTCAAAAACCACCCAAAACGTTTGCACCAACACCAAAACAGCCAGTAGTACTAGCTAATTTGCTTGCTTCAAACTTCATGGACCAAGACA